CAGAAATGCATGTTACCATAGGAAACACATCCTCATATAACATACAGCACATAAATGTGGTCTACTGTGTGCTTGAATTAAAAATGTAACATTCCTGCATTAAAATGTCTATAAACACTAGACCTATGTTATATATTTTGTTGAGTTGTGTACTTACGTTATCCCAAATGTTTCCAAGAATGTTCAAACCCAGAGATTTTTATTCTAATAATTTTATTCTGGTAATGGTGTGTTTCACCAGTCGCCTGTCGATGACGTCATTTTGCCTTTGCACATGCGTTGTGGTTTTCTGTCATGAATTGAATTTTAATCCAGCTTGAAGTCACATTTTTACAATACACTTTTTAGATCTTGGTCATTTTTCACTAGTCGCTGAGCTAACGTTAGCAGCTGGCAGGCCCTCCAGGACATCCTTTGTCTGCCCAATAGCGTCAGAGAAACACCTATTTTTAAGGTCTGTTTGTTTTGAAGAGGAGGAGATAATTCGGCTCCAGAACAATGAACATTTAAGAAATCCTGACCTGAATGGTGCAGATAATAACACCTATGATCCCATGCTACTTCACAGCGTCAGTTAACTTTGTTCTTTGTAATTGTTTTGATGAGAGAGAGCCTGTCAGTGGAAGAAATGACAGATTGTACGTTGTATGTCAAGACTTTCATTAGCCATAATAGGATGGAAAACAGGTGGTCGCTTTTTCTTTTATAGATTGCTGAAAAAACAAAAAAATTTAGTAAATAATGCCACCCTCTACAGGCTGACAAAACAAGGACAGATGGAGGTGACAGATGATCTTAACAGTACAGTAGAGGAAGACAAGAAAGATGAGTATAAAGGCTGACGGCTGCAATATGGGCCTCTTCCATTCTGTTGTCACACTCACATGATGTGAAAATCATAGATGAGCACGTATTAAGTATGAGCCTCCTTAATTAGCTTTCAACCTCGGTGCTTCAACATGATAAAGTAGGCTCTGATGGCACGCATGGATGGAGCACACGAAGGGCGGGACGAAGAAAGCTGTAGAGAGGTTAAGAGAGGAAGAGAAGCTGATAAGTGATCTTGAATTTGCAGGCATGGACCCATTTTTCTGTTCTATTACTCAGAATTAAAACTCCTACATTTCGACCGACTCTGACGGCAGTGATATGTGAGCATAGGGCAGTGAGAGGGATGAAGAGGAGGGTGAAACAGATGAGTAAGGTTGAGCTGCATGGATGGATGGGTGCACGGTTGGGTGAAGGGTGAAAGAGGATATTGAAGAGACATTATGGGTATGTCAGAGGGAATAAATGAGCAGAGGAAGAGGAGGAAAGGACAATGATAAAACTGCGTATGAAGGACAGACGGATAGATAGCCATACTGGGAAATGGGAGAAGACAGAGAGCGAGTGTCATAGATGAGGGTTGACTTTGTTTTACGCTGCCATCTGTTTGCATAGGGCCAATCATATCCTACGAGCATTATTATGAGAAATGTTGTGATGCTCGGTTGTTCTTGTGTCACACTGTATGAGATAGACTTTATCTAAAAACATGAATTTGATGTATTATGTTTTGTGTGGAGTTCAGCCAGCAGTCACATGAATAATCAGTGAATCACAAAATGACATATAACACTTCTTGAAGAGTAAAAATAACAAATTGCCCTTCTGTTGGCTAAAGCTTTCCATTTCTCCTCCCTGCGTTAACAAACACAGATACACAGCTCCCCTTTGCTTCTCAACAAACCCAACTACAGTTATTGATTGTATGATATGAATTTATCTAAATCTGAATGGATTCACCTGTTCACAAAGATACGGTATATTAAACTCGTCTGTAGAGTCTTACTAGGAGTGATTGAAAATGTTTAAAAAGTCAACCTATTTTAAGCCTCTACGGCTGGTCACTCTACCCCAGGGTAGAACAGCTGTGTTTCCATATATAGTCTAAGTTCAAAAGATAGTAAATCTTGTGGATTTTTGGAGATAATTCGACATTCATACAATATCAGTGGACATTGCCGGCCTTGTAGTCACATCAGATAAATGGAGCTTCAGCCTAAAATTGCTTTTAAAAAACAAAACAAAAATCATGTTTGGGTCATTAAAAGAGTACTGCCCTAATGTAGTGTTGCACTTTCATAACCTCGTTGGACTCATGGAGGGCTTTTCTCAGAATGGAAGCAACTCGACTGCCAATAATTTAGTCAGGGATTTGTGTGTGTTATGCTAGTAGAACTCCACACCTCCAGATTTTTCTCATATTCAAACTTGTTGTCAGAGGCGTAACTATCGTGTGCGCTATTAAGTGGCCTGCAGCAGTCTGGACCACTCATATCTGCACCACTGCTATAATCTTGATTGACGTGAACTGAACCTACATCATATGCAGCCAATTAATTTACATGTTGACGCGATACGTATTTAAAGTAGTGAGTGAGCTAAGCTTAGTCCCTGGCACTCCAACACTGATTGGGTCAACAGGCTGGTTGGTCACTGCCTTAGCCTTGCTATTATGACTAATCTTCTATAACACAGCTGTCTGTTTTCATTTAAGATAGGTGTCAACTGTGCAGTGCGTTTCACTGTTACAGGTTGTTTTAAAGCTGCATGCTTTCACGTCTTTAATTCACCACTGACATTACATCATGTTACGTCTGATTGGGATGGTGCTAATTTGTTATACTGCTGCTTGCAGACTTCAACCCCAAGTGATGCTGACTCAAGTGACATCACATGAGGGAATTTATAAGATTTCACACAGCCAGCTCTGGAGACACAAAATGCTTTATATAACTTTTTTTATATTTGCAGTAGAACACACAGTTTGATGTTAAAACTTCCCTTTTAATGTTAAAAGTTCCCTTTTAAAGCTGCTCCAATCAATATTTTTACACTAATTGTTGGGATTTTATGCCCTGCAACATTACTGTTTGGTCCACTGTCACCACTTTTGTCATCTTCCCTCTCAGCAAACCTGTGAGGAACCCACAATTCACTACCTGCCCAGCAGCAGACAGAAATTAATGTTAATACTGCCTGTGTCTGCTGGAAGAGCACTTTTGCCAACTTCATAAAATGATAATATGTCTGTTTACAGCTTGTTGCTCCCAAGAGATTAAACAAGTCAGATTCAAACAAACAGTGTTAATTGCTGAATTAACTGTATGAGTGTATATATTGTATTTCATTTATCTGTACTGTAACTGCCGGAGATGTTGGCTTCCACGTTGCCACAGGTTATTTGTCACTTCTGTAGTTTATCACACACTCAGAGATAGCTTTCAGAAACTCTCAATATCTCTGACACGGAATTACAATTCAGAAACTGACGTGAACCAGATGCATGCAGTTACTGTCTGTAAGATATGACATAAAGGAGGCATGAGGTTGAATACAGTGGGACACTGATGAGTAAATGGCCCATTATATACAAAACAACAAATTAACTCAGATTTAGGGAGTGTAGAGTGTAAAATAAATAATGAATGTCAATCTGTTAATATTTGTTGCTGTAGAGCTACACTTATTTCTCAAAGGACTCTTTACAGAGTTGGCATAGCATAGAAAACACAGCTGCAGCTAATAAACTTAATAACTTAAATACTTTGATTTAGGTAAGTTAATGAGCGACAAAAACTGACAATAGTCAGTATAACTGTCAGTGTTCGCTAATTGGCACATCCCAGTCAAACTTACCCTGTATTCATTCTATTAGCTGCAGCTGCATTCACCCTGCTGTGACACTGTGAAAAGGCTCTGTGAATATAGAGAAGCAGAAGTGTACTGACAAGTCACGTCAGTGTTATTTATAAAGCCCAAAATCACAAGTTTGTCTCAGAGGGCTTTTATTGACGTCACTTCCAGTCAGTGAGAAAAGATCTGACTGCTTTTTACAGTCCGTTTTGGGAATTTTCAAAGGAGATGATGCTACAGTCACGGACGGTAGTGATGAGAAACATCTAAGCAGTTATAGCACAAGCATCTCACCATCTGACAGCTCCAGATGGTGCCTGCCAGAGTAACTCACAAATTTAAATGAATAGTTATTGAGCTATGGTTGATGATGGGCAGAGTTGGTCATGTGGAGGCAAAATATAATGTACATCATCATATCTGCATCAAATGGGGGTTTATTTAATGATGGACATGTGGTTGATTTTGTATGTCATATTATGTATAGAATATGTACATGTAATATGTAATCTGTAAAACCAGCCTTATTATTATTTCATGATGACTATTTTATGTTATTAGATGCAACAAGTGTTTGGTGGAAATCACTGCTGTGATCTGGGGTCATTGCAAGTTTAATCTATAAAAACACATGTATGTGCTTTAACAAAACTTGTTTATTCAGGTCATCTCAAAGAATGAATTTGAGCTCAACATCAAATTGACTTTGGGAAACCCATAGTCGGATAATCTTCAACCGAATCCTCAGACTCGTGTGTGGCTGACGGCAGAATCAATCAGTAATTTTTAGACAGGAGTTTGGCTCAGCTTCATCAGACCTCCCGCTGTTTGTCTGTCTGTGACAGGAGGTTGTGGTCTCACTAATCAGCTTATCACCTGAAAGAGCAAAAGGTCCCGATTTGGATGGGGTTTACGGGAGGAGACAGAAAGATTGGTAGATTAAGTAATAGCTCAGTCTCCCAATAACAGATTTAATGCAAGTATCAATATTTTACATTAATGACACAGGCCTGTCAAATCAAAAATGTATATATTAATAACTGAATAAATAGACTAATATGCAATTAAATGCACCAAAAATAATATTAAAATAAATGTTGCCATTAATTAATTTATAACATGTAACACAAATTGTTATTTCTGTTTTAATTTGCTTCTGTATTTATTCTTTTTTTTTTTTTTTTACCTTTACCAGAATACATGAGATAAAACAGCGATTCAGATTTTTACCCTTTCTGACGTCGTTTCTGGGTTTCTCCTCCAAGTTACCACCCACCCACCTACTCACCCACCCACCCACTCACTCACCTCACCTTCCGCCTTGTCTAACGGAGCTCCGCCATTGTTCGTACAAGGAGCCAGCGACTGAACTACATTATGGCTCACACTAGCTGTTCTGTTCTTGGCTGCACAACCCAACACAGCACTATACATAGTCTCCCAGCCTCAGAGGATTTACTAGTCCAGTGGATTCATTTTATATATGATGGCAATGTCCCGGCTAGAGTCGGCAAAAGACTGTATGTGTGTGCGAACCACTTCTTGACGGACTGTTTTCAGAACCTCGGTCAGGTCAATGCCGGACTGGCTAAAAGACTGTTGCTGGTAGAGGGAGCAGTACCAACAGTCCGAGGCAGCACGGTAGAGGAAGTAACTGTAAGTATTTTTACAATTTATGGTTTGTTTTTTATTCTTCGTGTAGCACTAGCTAATGCTAACAGCTGTTAGCTTCAGGAGCCTCAGTGATGCTAACTAGTTATTTTGTTTGTGAAATGTTTGTGAAATGTTTACAAGATGAACATGAAACCTGGGTTTATTTAAGCTTGCTCTTTTCAGTAAGTACTATGTTTGTGTGTGAGGCCAGGTAACCTCCCAGTGTACAAACTGTAGCGATGCATAAAGTAATGTCGGATCCAGCTGCGCACATCACCAGCTGTTCCGCTTGTTGAGCTGCACTACACGTGTTAGAAAGATAGTTTAAGTAAGTAAGTAACTACGTTACTTTACGTTATGATGTAGCTCGGTCGGTACTAAGGATGTGTATCGGCACCCGCCCCGCCCCGACACAAAAGCAGAATCCGAATTAAAACAGTACAGTGTCTGTTGTAAACTGAACTAGCCTAGCACATTTACAGGACCTTATTGCTTTAATGTGAAAAGCTAGTTAGCCGGTAGCTGACAGTCATTGTTTATATGCTGTTAAAATCATAAGAGACAAATAGATCAATCATCTGATCGCGTGCATCTTCCAGCTTTACCTCCAATTTAGACTATTTGAATTGTCTTTTAACCTGGTACATACCTGCTGGGTAGCTATGTAGCTGTCCACAGTGTGGATCAACTCAGCTGTGAACAGAAGAAGAAGACACTGTAGGAACCTTAATATTACACAGACAGGGACCTTTTCATTTATTTTCTGTGGTCGCAAACAACACAGCCTTTCAGTAACTGATGTTGTGCAACTGCTAACTTAAAATGAACTATGAGCAGCATCTGACTGTACCAACCATGTAAAACTCCCACTAGCACAATAACAAACTGGTAAATATAATGTAATTGTAAAGGAATAACTGTTTCAAAACATTATTTTACTGCATTTTTTGAGTATTCTCCTCTCATTAAAATTCCCTATTAATTAGGTCGATCTCTGCATCCTTTTTGTGTTACGTTAGAGAAAGGCATGCATTAAATATCACTGCTCTTTGTGTTTAGGCAAGCACATCTCGACTGGTGGATAGGGTACATCATGTGGCATGCCAGACGGACCCACCATCAACACGCAAAATTGGAACACAGCTTTCAATGAAGACTCTCCAACCTCATTTCAGAAGTACAGGTTAGTCGACCAAAAGTTACTTCATTAGGTGATGTGATTTCTTCTGTTTTTGTACTGTCAATGAGTAACAATATGATTGCTTATCATTTTAGAATTTTGCATAAACAATAAGATTATCTGTCTGTTTTTAAGGCACACAGAAAACAGTTTCCTGCACTGATGTTGGTGTTGGCACCTCAGCTGTTGCATTCTCTGCATCACTGCCAACACAAATAAAGAGACCATGTAAGAGACGTCGCTTGGAACAGGAGGAGAAGGAGGAAGAGGAGGAGGAGGAGAACCCTTTAGAAGGCAGTTCTGTTGACATTGAAGAACCACATGATTCTACATATGACCCTGCAGACACCTTGACCGAGTCAGCAGATGTGACGTGAGTTACTTGATTTTTTTTTAACCTAAACATTTTACTAATAATTTGTGTTCCATTCCTCTACTTATTGTAGCTCTACTAGGATGGCGTTTGACTAATTTTCTGTTTTGTGTTTATTGCAGAATGGAATATTCTACCCCTGTCCATAAGACTCCAACTTACATTGTGTATGAAAGCTGCCTAATGGAGCTGTTTGAAGTGTGCCCTGTGTGTAAGCGGGAATGTGACGTGCAGAGAAGAAAATTAGGCACGTTCCTCTCTGTAGAACAGCGGTGTCCGCATTGTGAGTTCTCCAGAAAGTGGAATAGCCAGCCTATTGTTGGGAGCACTCCTGCTGGGAACCTGCAGCTGTCCACAGCAGTGTATGCCACTGGTGCCTCTTTCTTTAAGCTTGAAAAGGTATTGTATTTAACTATGAATAAAGTAATGGAATATAGCATATGATGATGTAGCTACATTTTATATACACAATGTGAATTTCTTTTAGAAAACAAGTGGTATTTCTGAGAAAGTGATTAACGTGTGGGTAGGGCCGCTCGATTATGGAAAAAATCATAATCACTTCGGACGGGCCTGCCCCCACTGCTAAAAAAAATCCTAGAGGAAACACTGATTACCTGTTACTGTTACGCGTTACCTGTTCCAACGAAAACAACGTGACTGACTCATGTGCAGTGCATGCTGTGGGGGAGGGGCGGAAATACGCAGACTGTGGCTGTGTCCCAATTCAGGGGCTGCAGCTTTTTTCTATACAACGTTGCACAACAGAAAATGGAAAGAAAATTGTTTCCTCCCGATTTTATCAGTTTTGAGATCGTTTGGCCCCAAAATCGTAATCATGATCAAATTTCGATTAATTGAGCAGCCTTATGTGTGGGTGCCTGTCCTGTCTGTTTCTTTCTCCCACAGATCTTCCGGGCAATGCAGTTGAAGATGTTTCACTATGACTCCTTTCGAAGGCATGTTCGGATGTACATAGAGCCTGCGATTGTACACAGATGGAAGACAGCCCAGACTGCAATGTTGGAGCAGCTCAGTGAGCAGCAGAGTGTCATCCTTGGTGGTGACTTGAGAGTATACTCACCAGGTATGTAATACTGTTTGTTACTTGTCATAATAATCTTTTTTTTAATATATAAACAAGTTTACTTGAAAAGAAATAAACAACCACACAATGACAAATACAATGTAATGTAAAATAATCACTTTACTTTTGAAGGACATTCTGCCAAGTTTGGCAGCTACACAATGATGGACCTGAGGAGCAACACTGTTATTGATCTACAGCTGGTTCAAGTGAGTGACAACATATCTCTAATCTCTTTTGTTATCTGTTACAGTGTAGCTCTAATCAACTGAAAGTATCTATTTTTATCTGCTTTCTTAAATAATAAAGAGTAATGAGGTTGGTGGAAGCTACCACATGGAAAAAGAGGGTCTGAAGAGGAGCCTTGCTGTGTTGGAGGACCGGGGTGTGACTATAGATAGTATTGTGACGGACCGTCACCCCCAAATCCAGAAGTTCCTGAGGGAGGCCAATATCATGCATTACTACGATGTGTGGCACATGGAAAAAGGTAATATTCCGTGTCTTATTTTCCAACGAGAGGAAAAAATCTTTTGTTTATGATTTGTCCACACAGTAACACTGACATTATTATTGATGTGTTCCTGCCTATTGTTAATTCAATTTAGACTGAAAGCTATATAATTTCTTCAATCTAATTTCAAACTAATTAATTACTTTGTAATTAATATACGCTCTATATATGTGAAAGACTCAAACACTTTTTGTATTATTAGGACTGTCCAAGAAACTGTTGAAGATATCACAGAACAAGGAGTGTGAGAAACTAAAGAAGTGGCTTCTCAGTATAAAAAACCACATCTACTGGACTGCTGCTTCCTCTACATCAGGGCCAGAGAGAGCAGCAAAGTGGATGTCCATTCTCAACCACGTCCAGGACATCCACACCCACGAAGATCCTGTTTTCCCCCAGTGTCTGCATCCAACCCGCACTTCAAGGGACAAGAGCAAATGGTTGACAGCAGGTGTGTACACATTATCATCTGTAGGCAGTATTACTGTATTTAATGAGATTATTAAACACTTTCTTCTTTTTCACAGGAACAACAGCCTTCTGCAGACTGGAGAAGGTATTGACCAACAAGAGGGTCCTCAAAGATGTGGAGAAGCTTAGCCCTCATTACCAAACCTCATCACTGGAGGCTTTTCACAGCGTCATTCTACGTTTTGCGCCCAAGAGTGTTGTCTTTCCTTTTCTTGGAATGCTGTGCAGGTAAAGAGGGGCTTTTTTATCATTACAGTTATGAGTATGCACATACATGCACACCAAAATAGGCCAGGCAGGGAGCTAAATGTGTGTAAATCATGAATTTAAAACAAACCACCGACACCTGCAGTGCACTGTAATGTCGACTTATTAATGACAAAAAGGTGATAAGAGGACAGTCCTGCATTCTTAAGTTGTTATAAATAAAGCTGTTTATTTGAAAATAAACTACCATTGTCTGAATATTTTTGGGAATGTGTACAATGTGTTCTCAATCTTATTTTGCTTTTTTATTATTTTTCCTCCCAAGACTATACCTGGCAGCCCTACACTTCAATGAAAATGTAGGGCGTCTACAGGCAACAACCTCAGCTGGGGAGGGAGAATGCACAGCAAAGCCAGTGAAGGAGCAACCAACCTTCCGTAAGTTTTAAACCTTTTTATTGAAAATCACACTGAAAAATGAAACGGCCGTTATAAAATATTTGTAAAATAAATAAAAAATAAATTAAATTAACCAGTGTCTATGGCTTTTTTAAAAATGTTTTTAATAAATAAATAAATTAACATGATAAAGTAAACACAATATTTAACTCTTATTGCAGATTATGTGGATGAAATCTTGGACCTGGTTTTTGAGAAGGTTTTTCCGGACCCTGGCCCATACGCAGATGAGGTGTTGAAGATCTCCATTCCTGAGGATCTTTCTGCGCAGTTCGACAGACCGGACAAGAAGAACCGAACGTACATGCCTTGAGTGTCGGAACTCTGTCCGTATACGCAGCACCACACAGCTGGGCAGTACCACACAAACACCCCAACACCAGCTCACAAAGCTCCTATAGGCCAAGTATCTGTAACGGCTGAACAGAGTGGACATATTTAGTTATACATTTACATTTATACATCATTTTTTTGTTTGAAATATTAATATTACCTATTGTTTAACAATAGGAAAAAAACAAGTTGTACATTAATAACTTTTTGAATAATTCTTTTAACAGTTGTGTGTTGTTTGCTGTACTTGCATTTCTAAAAATAAAACTATGTACGCTGTATTTTGTATTTATTTATTAATTTCATTACTCATATTTGTATTACAATAACAGAATTTATATACAAAACAGAGCTCACTTTTCTGTTCCTCTCAGAGTAAAGGCCCATAGTCTGCTCTGTAGATGTCATTCTGCAGTGAGAACACATTTAAACAAACAGGTTCGAGGCCAGGGTGGTCTACCATGCAGGGAGGTTGGTTTTGAAGTTGATGTAGTCTTTTTATAACCTGTACACTTGAAAGGTAAGTGACGTTTGATGACAGAATACTTACATTTTCATACAACAAGCATCCATGTATTACCTGTGGTATCTCCCTGCAGCAGACATTCTCGGGCACTGTAGGCATTGTTGTACAATTGTCACAAGTACACCTAAACCAAAACATACATTTAAAAAGGGAAAAGATATCAGAGCTTTTTATTTTAATATTTTGTTAGCAATAATGACAGGTCACCATATGCAACGATGGAAGTTAACGTTACTGATGGGAACATTTCAGCCTCATGTTGATCTTAAAATTAAAAGAACGAGCGCTAACGTTACATTTCCCGTTTGTAGCTGTCGAGGAAACATTGCGGACTCGTGAAATGTACTTTACTTATTATTATTTACTTACTTTATAAGCAGTAAATTACACAAACAGCGGTCGACCGTATTTACCCGACGTACAAACATACAAAAAAAAATAAAGTAAAATAAAGCTAACTATTCAGAAATGTCCTGTTGTAGTCTGGATTGAACAATTTCTTCTATACCTCCTTCTTGTTCAGGGTCTGACTGGTTCAAACATGGTTGGACCGCAAAGTTTCCTCCAGCTGTGAGTGGAGTGAAATGAGTGGATTACCTGCGTCTCATTTGCATTTAAAGAGACAGGCACTAAAAACCGACCGTTCTGAACAGGGCTGCTTTGGCAGGGTGAGTGAACTGCTATGGTGCTTCATCCTTATGGTATTTTGACCAAAGCATGTCACAGACAGTACATTAGGACACCAGGGAACTAGGTTAACTTGTAGAAATAGGGTATAATATGACAACTTTAAATAACGGTCAACCCAACTCTGATTCTGAAAATATAAAAGGCTATCCATATGAAATAAAGTGAGCATGACAGTTACTGATATTTGGGAGACGTCTTAAATCATGGCTAAGAAACTAACTGCAGTGGTGTACGGTAAACCCACTAGTAGCAATGAAAGACATTTATCAGATAGATTATATGGGGACAAACACACTTCAGAGTGAGTTTGGCTGCTCAGAGAGGTTATTTAATCATAGTTTGAATAGAAGCAGATATTGCCTGGTTGACACACAGCCCAGAGTCCATTATCAGCTTAATGAAGCTACAGTGGAGTAAAGAGACAGGGCTGTGATTGATGACACCATGAACGACCAGAATATGAACATGTTATTAGTAATTCATGATTTGCAGCTCGATCTCGGAGTCATTTCGAATCTTCTGTCTCCTTTTTCTCTCTCCCTCTTTTTTTCTTTTTTGACATGTATTTATGTGTGTGTGTGTGTGTGTGTGTGTGTGTGTGTGTGTGTGCGTGCGTGTGCTTATTACACACCACGGGCTCAACTCAATATTCTGCTGACAAAGACAGAGAAAGGGAGAGATTAGGGAAGGACGTGAATAGAAATGATAACACACAAGCTGAATTTATACATTAAAAAACCTGACTTGCATGTTCTTTTACGGAAAAAGGCTATACAGCAATGGAAAAGATGGTTTTATAATAATAATAATAATAATAATACATTTTATTTAAAGGCGCCTCTCTGGGCACTCGAGGACACCGTACAACACATAAAAAGTAAAAACAGTAAGAAATAAGAAACAGATAAAACAGACAATGTAGAAAGTTAAGTGGGGTATGCAGTTCTGAATAGGTGAGTAGCTTTGGGTGTTAAGTGCAAGAAGAACAAAGGAAGAGAGAAGATTCAAGAAGAGAAAGAAAATGGAGAAGAAAGAACTGGAATAGAAAATTATGACAGGATATAAAATGACTGACATGTATAATATATTAACCCTAATTTAGCTACATCTATTTATAGCTTTAATGTAAAATACATTAATTCATTAATTTCCTACAACAGTGAATGAATGTACTATACAGAGCCCGTTATAATTCATCTCGTGTACAATATATACTTATATACTTATATACTATAAGTGAATTACAATTAAGTGAAATGCCAGAATCAGAACAACCTGTAACAAACACAACAAAAGTATCACAGTACAGAGATGGCAAGCTGAGCAGACGTTTTGAGGTTAGCATCAGTTTACAACTACCATCTGATGTATCATAGCTCACATAGCTGCTTTGCAGAAAAAGGCCTTTTATTTCCTTTGCATTATTCATCTGCTGCTATGTAGCTGACACTTTCTCCCACCTAATGGGAATACTCATACAGTATGTACAGTCGCGGTCTTCCAGAGAGAGACGAGAGAGAGAGAGAGAGATTTAGAATGCTCTTTTTACATGATAACTTGAGTTCAGGATTTATATAAAGCCATTAATTCATATCAGTTGAAGAAATCTAATACACAGAGCACAATTTACAGGATGTTTCATGAATCTAGGTAAGTGTGTGTGTGTGTGTGTGTGTGTGTGTGTGTGTGTGTGTGTGTGTGTGTGTGTGTGTGTGTGTGTGCATGTTCAAAGGATTTAAAGCAGATAGCAGTAACTTTTATTTTGGGTATAAAGTCTCAGAGGAAAATCCAACACTAACCTCAATCTGTTTTTTTTTTAATGATCCACACACACTGGAGCTGCTCATTCAGGGTCACACACACGTGAGAGTACTCACTCCAGACAGCAGCATTTGAGGTCTTTGCATGCATGTCTGCATGTGCGTGAGCCAGATTTTGTGTCTGTACAGTACTGTACGTGTGTTCAACACCACAGCCGAGGATTTTAGGTGTTTCAGCAGTTTCCAGTCAATATAGTCTTCATCCGATGACATGCTCCACAAGCTTATGCTATTTTTGGCTGATGTGCTATTCTGAGTGACATCTCCCTACAAGATAATGGTGCTGTGTAATTGCGCGTAGTGTATAACGATGGGTTGGGTCGGCTTGCTGTTCGTCATCATGGTAATTAATTCTGTCAATGGAAATTAGTACAGATGTGTGGAAAAGAAAGATAACAAGATGATGATTATGTGCCCTTGTACAGACACACATGCACACACACAGTATGCAAAGGTGTCTGAATAATGAGCGAATGTACAAAAGATAAGGACACACATCACATTAATAGTCCAGCATGTATGAAAACGTAATCACAGAAGACGTGTGTGTGTGTGTTTGTGTGTGTGTGTGTGTGTGTGTGTGTGTGTGTGTGTGTGTGTGTGTGTGTGTGTGTGTGTGAGTGTGTGTGTGTGTTTGTGTGCGAGCCAATTAGGCCAATGTTTCTCAAACGTACCATACCACCTGAGAAAATATTAGGCTCTCCAATTAACACCATTATGATGACATTAAAATGCAGTAGGTAGATCCTATGTTGCTACATGCTGCTTATTCTAAATGTAACAAACAATTCCTATATTCAGGTGATTATACACTAATGAAAACATACATATTAATATTATAATTCCCTTCACATCTATTACATCCTATATAGTTAATATCACATTTTCCTTTTAATTAATGTTCACAAATATGAATTTAACTAAATCTAAACATCTATGCATATCAGAATTTTAATCATTGATTCAGTCATTTGTGGGTTTGCTTGTTATGCCCTTTCAGCCCTTCTCAGTGACTGTACCTCAATGAGCATTAAGCAACTGGCCCTGTATGACCGCCCTCTAATGGCTTTCCTGCCAAGATGATACAGATTTACAGACTCCACTGGCCTTATGGGAGCTGGTCAAAACAAAACAAACCTGACAGCCGCTTACGGTCTTGAGAATGCTGCAGCGCTTTGTGCATGTGTGTATAGGAACGTGATGTGTGTGTCTGTGTCTTTACCACATCTCTGCAGAAACAGGGGGAAGAGATTGGGGCAGAGAGAAAGAATGAGAGAGACAACCAGTGGCTAATGGCTTTCCCACAGGGCCATCACTTCCTGCAACTCACAGTAAAATGTGGAGAGCCACAGGGGAGTAGCTATTAGGAAACCTCAGACTTCATCTGCTAACAAGACTGTGGAAGCAGTTCTGCCTTTCCCTTATGAGAAATAAAATAGTCATAGTGATAAGCCTCTGACAAGAGCAGTGTAAAATTATATGCTCATAATTGCTGAGGCCTTCTACTCAATGTGGTCTACTGGTGGCAGTATGTCTCTGCTGTGTTCAAGCAAGTAAAGGGAACAATGGATTTATATCAATGTAAGGACTGCAGGGGGCCGAGCAGCGAAGTAACTAATGAGAAGGCAGCACATCTTATATAGCTCTAACTAAAATGTAATTTCATAAGCATAATCTGCTGATTATTTATCGATTACAGGTTGTGTAACTTTCAGATAACCGTTGTTAAAAATGACACTGTTGTTGCTAAGTGAACTGCAGTCAGCAACCTGTTGCTTGCGCCCGCACTCCGTACACAGTCTGTCGGCCAAAAGTGACATTTACAAACGTTGAAATGAACACTGAATGCTGGAAAATAAATTACAATCATATTTGGAAAAACGTTTCTATCTGGAAGGTTCCTATATTTTATTTACACCACTGGCTTAATGATACTAGCTAGCTTGTTGTTTACAAATCACTCAATCAGCCAACACCACAAAGCAACCAAAGCCAGACCCGTGTGGTTCCAAGCCACAGCCAGCTGGCTAATGCCAGCTTAGCTTCTCATTACAGTTACCTAGTTAGCTGCCACTGCCTTGCATCACTCTTGGCTAGTAGAAAGCAATCATTAGTTATACACATTTGCTTCAAACCGTAATTTATTGTTGGCTAAAATCAACACTGTTGGTTTTAATAAATACACACCTAACCCATCATGTATCAACCCACAAGTATACATTTATAATTATTGTTTTAACTGTAT